TTTTGGCGATTTTCGAGTCATTTATAGGCATTTATGTTTGTGAGTTTATGTCCGCAGTCGAATATTCGTCGAACTATACGCATATAATATTTTACGGATATGTGGCACGTGGAGATCTTTATTTACTGATTGGCTATAATATAGCTGCAGCGGGTATAGAGGTACCTACGCACAAAATAACAGCGTGACATTTTGAGATCCGTATACGAGATTTTTGAGATTATTAAATGTAATATATTAGGTATACTTTCGAGTTTCAAACGGTTTACAAAAATATTGTATTATAATAGGTACGATATTGTTGTATTGTTGTTGTTGTATTATAATATTTGTTTATTCCGGGACGGTTAAAAAACATCGCGGGATATTATTTACCACGGCGTACGAATATTAGACGTAGGTACTATATGAAAAAAATGTACGCGGACGGCCTAAAACTACAAGTTAAAAAAAAAAACCGGCTGCCTATTGTCTTCCGTGTATGCGATTACAAAAAACAAAATCACAGTGTGTCACTAGAGAACTATACTTTCTTATTAAATTAATTATTAATTAATTATATTAGGCACGCGTATTTACTGTAAAAAAAAAAAAAAAAAATCCTGATTGATTAATTATTATCGTACATTATTTATTATTGTTAACGATAATGATGATGAGGTTTAGTCACTGCAGACTGCGACTACTGGATGTGTATGCGGTTTTTTTTTTTTTTTGAAATATAATAGGTAGGTAACCTATATCTACTATATTTCACACGTCAAGACTTATTAAAATAAAAAATAAAAAACATCGATGTTTAATTTTTTTTTTACGAGACAAGTGGGTCAAACTAGAAGGACTAAATAATTATCTAGCCTCTCTAGGTCAATCTGTATGGGTGATACATCATCGGTTATTCAGCAGTCAATTTTAACAAATTTTGCACAAATGTGAAAAGAAAATCGCAAGAAAAACCAAAAAGTTATCTCTCCAATGTATCCGCTAGACCAAAAACTCTACAAGAAATTTCTAATAGAGCGGTTTTGATTAGAGTAAGATTTTGCGTAGCAAAGTTTTTTATGCATCCACTCAGAATCCAAAAATAAACATGGACTATGCCTTTCAGAGTAGACTTGAGAAGGAAACGTGTGCATAGCTGTTTCAAATATCACACCGGTTATTGATTTCTTGTGCAGAAATGTATAAGCCCACCCATCAAATTATAGTTTTCAAAATCTATATTATAATTTTATCAATGCATATTTAAAGTTTTTTTTAAAGGTATATTAAATCAATTTAATTTTTTGTATATGGTTAAAAAAAAAATCTCCACTGTAGGGCTTAGAGGGTCGTAACAATTTCGTATTAAATTCGGGGGCCGCATTACAAAAAAATTAGAAAAGCACTGTTATTAATAGCTATACACAGCGCAAGCCGCAACTAGAATGTTGTTCGAGTCAGTATTTACGGAATAAGATTGGAGAGATACTGTTCTTTGACTTTTTAAAAGAAGTATCTATTATTTATACGACGACCTATTTTTAAATTCAAATTTCTTTACTTTTTACCGCAAACATAAACAAATTAATGTTTTGGTGGCAGTTTTTTTTCGATATTTTTAACTTCTAATAGCAACGCCGTATCATCGATCTTTTGTTCTCACTTTCTCTTTCTCAGGTGTTTATATTTAATAGACACTGCGGTCATTTTCAAATTTAAATTGGAACATCGAATTTGCCATTACAAAAACCACCCTTGAGTTGACGGTCGGAGTAAGATTTCTGGCAGAAAAGTTGTTCGCAGACAAAAAAAAAATGAATCGCCCCTCTCCTAACCCCCACTCCAGATAAGGTCCCAGATACGTGCCCGATTCGGGCATTACGTCACCGCGTTCTAAACGAGCAACAAATGCGATCATCGTTATATGACGTACATTTAAAATGGTGTCCGCGGTTTATGGTTTAAACCGTTTGCCGTCGTAAATTACTGTCTGCGGAGACCCGTCATCGCCGCCGCCGCCGCCGCCGCCGCCACACCGTCGTGAAACCCGTGACCTTTCCGGTCGAAATCCACCTGCCCGATCAATTAGACGTACCCGCACAAAACACACGCGTGCACCGCAGCGCCGACGTGCTTGTGTGATGTGTGTGACCTTTATCGCGGATGACTCATAGTTTTGTATCTATTTGTTTTTTTCGGATTAAATAATTTAATAATGCAACGATAATATACAAATACCCGGTTACTGTGCGGCCACGGCAGTAGTTAAACAGCATCTAATAATAACGCACGAGTAATGTTACGGCGAACGCAGTAATAACAACTGCACGATCGCAACGATAACATTATTATTGTAAATTAATAGACGATACGCGTGTTGATTCACGTCCGATTGGTTTTTGATAATATCCGCGTGTTGGTATCGGACGTCCCCGTACCCGAAGCGCACTCGGGTCGAGGAGTGACGCGCGGTAGGAGTGTTTCCGGTGGGTTTCGAGGACGGTCCAGCTGGACTCTCGAATCGAATCAAATTCGAACTTATTTCTTCTTTTCTTTCGGAAAACAGTATTGTTTTTACGCACCCTCTTTCTATTGTGCATCTCTCCGGGCCCCGCGAGAAAACAACGTAATGCGTACTATTATCACACGCGTTAAAAAACTAACTAATAACTCGAGTAATAATTGTTATATCGTTTCTGATAAAATTATTTTTATTTTAAGCTTCGGTATGCGGCAGTCTATTTTCAACAGACAAGAACAAATTTCAAAAAAAAAAAAAAAAAAAAACTGTATAATTCGTAAAAATGTATAAAAACAAATATTATAAAATTAATTAGTTATATTATGGTTATTATTATACAGCTTGATAAATAAAAATCAATTACCGCATGTTAAGAGATCATCATCTGAGAACGGCTGCGAACGCGACGATTCGTTTTACTACGATGTTCTGATACATATATTTTTCAAAATAATTTGGAATCACCGAATAGAAAATTATAGGTAAAACGGCAAATATCTGCGGCGCGGCGAGCCGAAGCGTTACCGAATTCATTGTTTTTAACTATTGATGACGATGTTTTTTACCAGAAATATTGCTCCGATAGAAAAATGACAATGGATCGATTTTGTTCCTTTTAATATATATAAGTCTAGGAAGTTTCGTTTTTTGATGTCTAAAAGATTTTTCATAATAATTTGGAAAACCAAAAAGGACGAAAAATACGATAATGTTTTTCAAATTACGGCGCAACGATTTTATTATTTAAAATGTCCAAGATAAATAGATATTGGTCCAATAGATAAACGACAAGAGATGTTCTTTGTTACATTTTTATATTATGTGAGTAAGAAAGTTTTTTTTTTTTTTTTTTTGATCACTTAAGAGAAATGCGCGAAAAGTTAACACGAGGCACATACATTATAAGCTGTACTTAGTTGTTTAGAAAAAAATTAATATTTTATACGTTTTAAAATCAAATTTTGACGAAAATCGTAAATATCAAGGCCTTTTAAAACGTGTATATAACCGAATTTCGCTCCGAATCGTTTATCGTTGCAAGTTACAGGTGTAAATTAAATAACTTTTTGTATCCCATCTTTTCTACAATCCACCTGAAACAGTGGCCACACCCGTTCTTAGTTCTTTTTTTTATATACATATATCTATCCAATTAAACAAATTAAAATAAACATATTTCGCTGGAAAAGTTACTGTGGTTTCAATTATTTAATTTAAAAGAAAAATACGTTTTAATTGTTAACAACGATTTTTGAATGTTTTGAATGTTTGTTGAGTGATAGCAGCAGGAACGGTTGGATATATAACGTAGTTACGCTATGTGCACCGTGTCTTTAACGGTTTTTAATGATAAGTAATAACTGATAACACTATAATTTATGTCCCGGCAAAGTCACCGCTGCCATCACATCAAATAAATTCCGAAAATCAATACGTTTATTTAAGCATTTATGAAAAAAAAAAAAAAAATTGACACACATTCGCACTTCATTAACTAGCAACAAAAGCATTAGAACATAATACTTCTCAACACTCACGTACCACTTTCCCGATGCTTATTAAAATCGTTTTACAACCATTAACATTAGTTTACACGCGCATACCGACAGGAGGAGTTTTGTTCATTGGGTGCTTGTGTGTTACACTGTTACTTCGATCGCACCGATTCGTACAGGTTTATTTCGTACATTATACACGGAAACACACGAAGACAAACGCTCAATCTAAATCTGTATCGAAACGATTTTTTTTTTTTTTTCACACACGAAACACGGACAGTGGAGAAAAACGGTACCTCATATATATATATATTTTTTTTTTTAATTTTATTTTTTTAGGGAAACCGTCCCGCCTCCACCTGTAAACCGTGCACTTGCGCGTGCAGGAAGACCGTCATCGTCGGCGACAGACGGGTCGCATAATACCTAATGTATCCACCGCACACACATAATACACGCACAATGTTATATCAGTTCGTCGTCGTCGTTCGCCTCGGTCACGCGAACAAGTATTATGGACGTTTTCGCGTCAGAGACGTTACAAAACTCTATAAATTCCACGCACACACACACACACACACATATTATTATTATAGTATTATATATACATATATATTATTATTATTATAATACGGCGAATATTACGCTGTTTACGGTGTATATTATATGTATATATATATATATATATATATATTTATAAAATACGTTATATAGTGTGGGCGGAGAACTGTATAGAATGGAAATGACCGAGCACAAAAAATTCCGTTTCACACACACACACACGCACGCACGCGCGCGCGCGCGCGCATACTTATAGGCGAGTGCGGTTTTTAATCGGTCGATTAGCATACGGACATGCGTGTACCTATACATTATATACATCAAATATACGAGACAGGTAGAATAATAATAATAATAATAATAATAATAAAAACACTTATACCAGTCTCAGGCAACGACTGCAGCACACGTATTCGGCCATACGTGTCAATATAATATTATAACGGGACGCGTCTCGCGAGACGACGGCTAGCGGCAGAAGCATCGGTATCAGTAACAGTGACCACAGCACATAGCTGCACAGTGAACAATAATAATACATTACGCAAATGACAATGTCGTGGCCGCCGTAGCCGCAAAATTATTTTTCGATAAAAACGCGGGATAACACTACTACTACTACTACTACTACTACTAGAAAAAAAAAAAATCAAATAAATAAATGACAAAATGTGTTCGTAAAAATAGTAGAGGCTAGAGTTGAATGTTCAAACCAAAAGGCCTCGTGTCGTTGACACTAGCGCCGTAAACGTAGTGTTTGAAAATTCATACTCCTGGCTTCGTTTGCGGCAGTCTGTTGATTATACATTTACCTATTCATTAAGGCCACATAATATGATGTCGGCTTAGCCATGACCGTTAAGGCGCGAACGCGGCCTGGACTTCCAGTCGTATTTGTATCTGATTTACCAAGATATACCAAGATTTAAAAAAAATATAGACACTCAACTACATTGAATGTACTTTGTGCAAAGATTAAATGAGTGCATATAGTCGGGACGTTTGTCGGCGGTAGGAGTATCACTCTTGACTCTGCAGACATTCATCACCAGGATCAAGATCGCGTCAGCTACGACCAACTCACGGCCGCTTCTGCTCGTGGCATTCAGTCTTTCTACTCCATAGTGGAGGGCGTCCTGTGCCACAAGGAGCAGGGCAACAGAACAAGATAGGTCTGGGCGAGGGCTAACTGGCATATGACGCATACTGCAAAACCGTTTAGACCACCTGGTGGTCGCTTCACCGGCCACGAAAAGCACCACGAACGAGACCCAAGACTGACGAGCTCTACACCACGTCGCGAAAAGAAAGGGCCCCCACCTAGGCTAAGCTTGCTAGGAGATGTTAATAGACGAAAGTCCCACATAACTTCGAATTATTTAGCATTTCCAAGTTAATTCATAAGTTATTTAATAAACGATAGCAGCAGAGAGTGAAGTGTTGCGTTAAATAGATCACTTTTTTTTTTCTGATTAGCTGACAGCAGTGAAAGATCTGTTTTCGCATTGTTACCCCATAAACAGACCATTTATTGCTGTCGATCGTACTGCGAAAAGAAAAAATATATAAACATATGACGTTTCTACGTACATATAGTACTCGAACTCTAGATTCTGAACGGAGCCAGAAACGTATAGGAAAAATGAGAAAATTTACGAAATGTCTTATTTTCAATTTTGTTTTTTGTTGCGATACAGTTAAAAATATTAATAGAGACTTGAAATTTGGATAGAAAACTCACATTTGCTTTTCATAGACGTGGTAACATTTTCAAAATATTTTAGCCATTTTTGAGGTATTTATAGACATCTTTATTTTACGAGTTATTCACGTAATTTTGTACGTATGTTAGCCAAACATGTCTATCAATTTAACAGGAGGTTCATTAAATGTCATATTTTATGGTTAAAAAAGTAATTTTTTCACAGCAAAAAAATAATATGAACAAAATATTTTAAGGACAATTTTTATAGATGTCAATTTTTTTCGATTATTGTTAAATAATGGTGTAAATGTTATCGACATATTTTTTGCCCGAATTCTTCATGTTTGGAAAATATTTTAACCTCATATTTTTATAACGTTTAATTTTTATATCTTTTTTGAAACATTAGACAAATATTTAGAAAACATTTTTATAAGTCGTATAACAAAATATTTTAGTATCACAAGAATAAAATATTTATTCAATATTATTAGCAAATTATTAATTCTTTAACCACTTCAAAATATGTATAAAATATTGCCGTTTCCTAAAATCTATATGGGTAATTGACTGTGTCGAACTACAGTAAAATATAAACATTTTTTAAGTATTAATAATTATAAGAGGGAGTAAATGTACAAACAAATTACGGTTAACTGGAATGTCTGGCAGACGGCATATACACGCGTATACGTACACCTATGGGTATCACATAGTATGTAATATCTCTGTTATCGAAATGTTAATTTTTGTGTTATTACGATTAATCATACATGATTGATTCATTATCAATATTTATTGCATTTTTTTATTTGTTCGGATTTTGTTTCCTAACGTTATCCATATAATATTGCGTATAAACAATTAAATAAAGATAAAATCGATATTTATTCAAACATTTTTTATTTTTTTTTTTTTTTTTTATCAAATCTATCTTTACAATTTTTTACCCATAATTTAACTTCTAAGTTCATACTAATTGTATTAGGATAATTATATGAAAATGTAGCCATATTAGATACAAACGAGAAACCAGGAATTGGTACCAGCAGGTTAACGATTCCGGATATAAGTCTCTGAGTGCCACTAATGCTTGATTTAGACATTATATGATCCATCAACATATCACAATAGTCCTGGCGAAGATAGGATTTTGGTTTTTTGAAAATCCGGTCCATAAAATGTTCGTATTTCATGAGTTTATTCGATAAGTATAATTTTATTCTTTCTAGCTTTTCTTGATTTTTATTATAATCGAAGTATTTAATTCTTCTCGATGACTTACAAAAACTAACTAACATACATTTCGTGTTGGTCGCGGAAACCATTGTTGGCAATAGTAACACCATCGTGGATAAGGTCGCTGGTGGAACTAAAGATAATGGTATATTAGCACCTACACCTGCTATAACTGCGGAATTCTGTTTATTAAAATCTTTAAATAATTTGTCACATGAAGTGTTTTGAAATGTATGTAATATGAATTCCGCAAAAGAATCATTTGAAAACAATTTAGTTTTTTCTGTTGTAACTTCTTTCTTATGAAATTCTTTCAATTTTAAATTAAAATTTTTTATATCTTCCAGTGTGCCAAATTTACTGTGTTTCAACAAATTGAAAAATTTCTTTAAAATTTTAGGAATATCTTGTTTTGCTTCCTTAATATCTAAAATTAAATTTTTAAACAATAATATAGCTTCAGCAACTTTACAGTCCATATCATTCGAGATACCAAATTCATCCTCCTGCTTATTTCCTAATGTTATATTGTTTGAATATATTATTATACTTATTAATATTGACATAAATGAAAATGAAAAAATATTATCACAGAACCTACCTCTAACATATCCGATTTTCATGTTAAAAAAAGTTTTAATTATTATATATAAGCAAGTAACTCTTACAAAAGCTAAATTCATTCAATTTGATAAATTTTAAATATTACTGATCAACTCGAATACACTAAGAGTATATCTACTATGTCAGTACATTAATTTCAAAACGTTTATCAAAACAGTGACNATATTATTATACTTATTAATATTGACATAAATGAAAATGAAAAAAAATTATCATAGAACCCACCTCTAACATATCCGATTTTCATGTTAAAAAAATTTTTAAATATCATATATAAACAAGTACCTCGTACAAAAGCTAAAATCACTAAATATTACTAATCAACTCGAATACACTAAGGGTATATCTACTATGTCAGTACATCAATTTCAAAACGTTTATCAAAACAGTGACTACCAACGAATTGATTCTCCCTATAATCAGTTATCAATACCGTTCTAAAATGTTAACTATCGTAACCCAAGCACTAGTCACTAATCTGCCTTTGATCTATTTGATGATAATATAAATTTAGAATTTAAAATATAAATTAAACAATTTGAATACTATACTATTATTTATATGCATAAATAATAAAGATGTCAAACCGAAGTTATAATATTATCTTAAAATAATGCCTTAATACTGCCTTGGTTTTCGTGTAGCCACTTCAGAAGTTGAACGTAAAAATCTTGATTGTAGTTGAATTTATCGATTGGAGTTGAATTTGTTGATTGCAGTTGAATATAACTAGTTTCTTTGGATTCGTGGCATATAATTTCTGTTTAATACAAGTAATAAGAATATAGAAATGAATTTATAATTAATTTTTATGAATTGTTAAGATTACAGCTGGTGTTAGTCAAAAATGAAGGTGGGGTTCCCATAACAAATTTTAGGCACCTGTCGTAAATATTTTTATGCCCCTTTATTTTAGTGATTTAGTGATAAGCAAAAAATTTTAAAAAACTGGTGTTATTGGTAACAATCATTTTTTTGTTTCTTAGTACAATAAATGGTATATATACTCGTATGATATATGTTTTTGTATAAAAATGAAAAATGTAAACCAAAGTAGAAAATTATTTGTCTAATTATGCAATAATGAATAGCAACTAAAATTGTATTTTACGGGCTTTGATCTTTGAATTTTAATATCATCAAAGTTTATTGTTGGAGCCAATGTGTTCTCCACACATAAAAGAACAAGTAAATTTTTTCGCTCAGAAATTTGTAGTTGATTATTGCCATGTCTTCAGTGAATTTTCTAACTTTCTGCCGCTGGTTAAATAACCGGAATAGTACAAAATATTCGGAGACTAATTCACACAATTTCGAAAATGATCTGCACACTTTTCACGTGAATGGATTTTAATAGCTTGCGAGTAGTGACATTAATTTTCTGAAATGTTGAACAATTATATGTAGTTTTCAAATGTAACATTTCTCAACACGTTTTTTTGTATAATTAATTTTGTATTTAATTTTAATTCTTCATTGATAAAAAGTTTAATGATGGCTCAAAAATATTTCAAATTTGTTTTACTGGCTTGAAATCTATGATCTAAATGTGATAGAATAATATCAATTGTTTAGTAAATCACATCGTTTTTAAATAATGCAATATGAGTTCAGTACCACCAGAAGAGGAAACAATTTTATTTTCGTCTTGTATTATCTACAAAATTGAATATTAATTACATTTATTAAGCTACTTGTTTTGACTCAAAGAGAATTTGAGATCTCTTTTGAATCTGAATGAATATCCATGATACAAATTCTCGTTTCTACAGTAACATTTCTTTGATTCATTCGCAATAACATTTTATACCAAAATGAAGACATATTCAGGTTTTTAAACAGATAGAAATATTTTCCATTGAATTAACTTCACTGTCATTTTTCTTTCTGGAAGTGTGTAACTAGTTCATTAATAATATGATCCAAAGTATTTGTGATACTAGGTGATTGTTTTGGAACGGGACGAATTGCATCGATACGTCAACTCCATAGAGTGTATAAGTAACTTTGTTATTAATCAATTATACCTAGTATTTAATGACACAAATACCCTTTGTTTTTCAAGGGAAAAAAATTGCTGTTACTGCTGATTGTTACTGTTGTAGGTTGGTAGTTTGAAGTTAAGATATTCAAAATATCTTAAGTATACTATCTAAGGTTTATCCTACTATAGCTTCCGAAAACGGATTCTGAGCGAAATTCGGTTTTCCGTGACCTGAAAGGCAGTAATATTTATGATTTAAATCAAATTTTGGTTTTAAAAAATTAGTAAAAAAAAAAATTACTACATAATCAACGATTTATTTTTTTTGACTTCCAAATTGGTACAACTTATAATGAACCTCATGTTAAAGTTGCAAGGATTATTGATAGGTTAAACAATACTATATACATAAAACTCATAAGTATAAAATGCCTATAAATATGTAAAATATGTTTTAAAAATTCTACCATATCTAGAAAAAAAAAAATAAAAATGTTCTGCCAAAATTACGTATTTCTAAACAACTGAATTCCTTAAAAAAACTATATCAAAAAAATAAACAACATACATTACAGTAAAACCAATAGATTACTTGCTTCACTCAGAATCTAAAAGTCTGAATATTAAAACCTTTTAATTTAATATTTATAAAATGAAAATAAAATAAATAGGTACAATTCAATTTAAAAAGTTTATGTATATTATGGACTAAAACAATATAGTCAGGTATAAATTGTCTTTAGTGTGAGACCAAACGTTACTACCAATCACTACCTCCATCATCAAATAAATTTAACTTGGCTTCTATATTTATATAGAATGTTAATTAAATGCCTAATCATATAAAATTACTAATATAAAAAATATCAACATATTACTAGTCATTTTGTTGAGGTTATGTTGATGTTAACAGTATCAAGGTCTATTCATGTTTAAAATATGCATTTGCAAATTGCATTTACTTTACTCTTAAGTAATCAGTGGATACACTCCCCATAAATTTGTTTGAAATCCGTTAAATGTATTATTAGACAAGTTTGATAGTTTTTTATTTTNACCTACAATAGTGGCACAACCATGTGTGCGAAAGCCAATACGTGCCAATCTAGCTAAAATGTGTGAAATTTAAATACAATTTAAGTTTTACTTGAAAACAAGTTGAGTGTTATGTAGTAGTTTTTATTAGGTATTTTAAGTTTAAATTTTGACAAAAGCGTAAAAATTACTATGAGACACGATTTTAATAGGAAATTCCTAGCTTATGGTTTTGTTTTATGGTGTTGGATTCATATTATTTTTAGTTAATTTATTTTTTAAACACTAAACAAATCAAACGAAAATTATTTTTAAAGATTTCAATAATAAAATAAATACATTATGCATAGCAGCGTACCTGCGTTTTACATTTTTTGAAAAATTTATAAATTAGCAACGGAAAAAAAAAAGGAGCAAAGACTGGGGATGAATATGTCTATATTGTAGATGCTACGTCAGTCTTGTAGGTACATAGAGTTATTTATATCCGTTTACATCGACAAACTATTAGCAACGAAAACGATTCTGAGCGAAGATTGGTCGAACAAATCTATTGAATTTTATAATGTTAATCAAAATTTGAGCTTAAATTCATATTTTAAAAAAAATTACCTCACCACACTCAACATTTTTTTTTGGTCTTTCAGTATAACTTATATTAAACCTAGTGTAAAATGTTGAAGCGTTTTTGTTGGTCAAACAATTTTATCCACGTACTACCTAGTAGTGGATAGACAGTATGCATGCCTTATCAAATCAACAAAAATTTTCAAAAACCGTGCAATTTACTGTGTTGTTTTTTACATGTAACTTAAAAAATTTGTGTTACAGTAATGAAATACATTTGAATTGTTCAATAAGTTTTAAACAATTTACTTACCTATTAATTTTATTCACATGATTTTCGGATTTCGTAAACACATATTAAACCTTGGTACTAACATCTTATATTAAAAATATTTAAACATGTTCATACCGTGGAAGACAAATATTGATAAAAGTGGTCAGTGAAAATATGTTAGATACCTACACCTATACTCCGTAAATATACGAATTGTTATATATTAGAAATTCGTTATGTGCCGTTTTTTTTGTCTACAGAAATCAAGTTTGAAACAATGTGAAAAACCGAAAAAAAAACGGGAACATGTGAGAAATGTAGGTATTAGTTAAAAATATAACGACAGTATTTTTTTCCTGTATACAACTTTTCCATCAGCAATTTACTTCAGTTTAAAGTGATTAAAATTGTTTTAAATATTTGACTGGTGGTGTACTTTAGACAGGACATTATTCGATTTTTTCAGAGGTTTCCTCATCGAATGTGAAAAAAACCAGGAATATGCCTGGGAAAACCGGGAAAAAAAGGAAAAATCTATACATGAAATAAATATTATTAAAGAAAATTTATAAGGCCTATTTTATTATTTTACTATAACATGACATATACATTTATATTGTTGCCAAAGCGTTACTATCAACTCTAATTAGAATCGTTTTTTCGTTAGCAATGGTTTATCGTTGCTTACAGGTATACATTTAAATATTTATGACAGTGACTGGAATCGACCCCATTATCCAAGGATATCTTTTTTAAACACGATATAAGTGCAACGCATACAATTGTGCCTATATAATATACATGTCGATTCATTCGACGTTATCAGTCGATTCTCAATGTAACTAACTCAAATACCCGTAAAGAAAATCGATTATTTACAATGACAATTTTTTCCGTAAACAGTACAGGGTACTACTACCTAACAAATATTTACAAATTCGATACAGACTCTAATATCGCATAAAACGACTATAATATAGTATATACAAACTGTTTATAAAGCCAGGCGGGTATCTATATGATTTCAGAAAGATCCTCGACTAAATCAAACTCGAGTCAGGTGTAAATAATTTGTTATAGGTAACCCGTTATAATTTGTCTTAGGTGTCCGTTTCATACCAGTATAATATTTCTTAACTATTGTATTCGGGGGCATAAATAGATCTGAATTTAGAAAGGGGGGTTGAATTCATGAATTGATTAGCTTAGGTATGGTAAAAAGTGAATCTCAGACAAAATGTATTCTTCACAAATAATTTGTTTTATGGTGGCACCTTCTGGGGTAAAATGAAGTAACAATCAATTGATTATATCAATCATCAATTTACAATAATAATATAATAGGTACATGCATTTACAAACATTATTATGTTGTTTCGTTAAATATACGCCACGTGTATTACCTACGTAAAACACCTTATTTCTATAAACAAAGTTGTATGATTTCCAAAAGAAAACAGAAATCTATACTATATTATTATAGTGATATAATTATTATTAATTAATTAATTAATTAATATTATTATACTGGTGAAGATATTTTCGATATAAGTGTCGGTATCAAATAATATCTCTATTTTGAAAATATTAATTTTTGTATCATTACGATTGATCATACATTACTAATTCATCGTCAATGTTAATGGAATTTTTTTTTTCCTAATATAATCCATAAAATAATACAACATTGTGTATAACCAAAATAATAAAGTTAAAATAAATATATTTACCAACATCTTTTTATTTTTTTTTATCAAATTTATCTTTACAATTTTTCACCCATAATTTAACTTCTAAGTTCATACTAATTGTATTAGGATAATTATATGAAAATGTAGCCATATTAGATACAAATGAGAAACCAGGAATCGGTACTAGCAAGTTAATTATTCCGGAAATAATTCTTTGAGCAGAGCTAATGGTTGATTTAGACATTATATGATTCATCAACCTATCACAATAGTCCTGGCGAAGGTAAGATTTTTTTTTTTTTTTGAAAAACCGGTCTCTAAAATGTTCGTATGTAACGAGTCTCTTTGATAGGTATGATTTTAATGCTTCCACCTTTTCATGATTTTTATAATAACCGAAGTATTTAATTCTTCTCGATGACTTACAAAAACTAACTAACATACATTTCGTATTAGTCGCGGAGAGCATTGTTGGCAATAGTATCGCCAACGTGGATAAGTCTGCTGGTGGAACTAAAGATAATGGAACATTAGCACCTACAGCTGTAATAATTGCTGTATTCTGTTTATCAAAATCTTTAAATAATTTTTCACATGAAGTCTTTTGAAATGTATGTATTATGAATTCCGCAAAAGAATCATTTGAAAACAATTTAATTTTTTCTGGTGTAACTTCTTTCTTATGAAATTCTTTCAATTTTGAATCAAATAATTTGATATCTTTAATTGTGCCAAATTTACTGTGTTTCAACAAATTGAAAAATTTCTTTAAAATTTTAGGAATATCTTGTTTTGCTTCCATAATATCTAAAATTAAATTTTTAAACAATAATATAGTTTCAGCAACTTTACAGTCCATATCATTCGAGATACCAAATTCATCCTCCTGCTTATTTCCTAATGTAATATTGTTTGAATATATTATTATACTTATTAATATTGACATAAATGAAAATGAAAAAAAATTATCATAGAACCCACCTCTAACATATCCGATTTTCATGTTAAAAAAATTTTTAAATATCATATATAAACAAGTACCTCGTACAAAAGCTAAAATCACTAAATATTACTAATCAACTCGAATACACTAAGAGTATATCTACTATGTCAGTACATTAATTTCAAAACGTTTATCAAAANTCTGCCTTTGATCTATTTGATGATAATATAAATTTAGAATTTAAAATATAAATTAAACAATTTGAATACTATACTATTATTTATATGCATAAATAATAAAGATGTCAAACCGAAGTTATAATATTATCTTAAAATAATGCCTTTATACTGCCTTGGTTTTCGTGTAGCCGCTTCAGAAGTCAAACGTAAAAATCTTGGTTGTAGTTGAATTTATCGATTGGAGTTGAATTTGTTGATTGCAGTTGAATATAACTAGTTTCTTTGGATTCGTGGCATATAATTTCTGTTTAATACAAGTAATAAGAATATAGGAATGAATTTATAATTAATTTGTATGCATTTTTAATATTACGGCTGGTGTTATGTCGAAACTGAATGTGGGGGCCCCATATCAAATTTTGGGTACCTGTCATAAATATTTATGTGGCCTTTTATTATAAAGATATAGTGATATGCAAAAAATTTAAAAAAACTGGTGTTTTTGTAACAATCGTTTTTAGATTGTGAGTGTACATTCAAGAATGTATTGGTTTTACTAAGATTTTTTTTCTATGCTTTGTACAAAAATTCTACCAGAAATCTTGCTCAGATATGCTCGCGCAGCATCATGTTTTAAAGGAAATATTGTCCCGATAGTACTTTTGTGGGGTCATTTTTGATATTCCAAGCTGCTTTTATTAAAAAGACAAGGGAAAAACCAGAATAAAATAAGTTTAGGAAAACAGGAAATACATGAAAATGTTTTTTTTATTTTTAAACATTGTTATTTGTTGTATTTCAGTTTAAAATAATCGTTTTGCCTTTATGGGCCTAGAATTTCGACAGAAAATTTATGTTTCCCTGTTCTAGACTTTGTAATTTTTTCAAAAAAATTAAGTAATTTTTGATCTATTCATAGACATTTTAAACTTGCAAGTTGTGCGTGTTATTTTTTTTCGTTATATACTCTGTGATAAAATTGTCAGACTTAATGGAAAGTCTTGAAAATTTAACAGGAAGTTCGTTAAGATTCTTTCTTTGTGGTCATAAAAAGATAACTCAAGTTTAATGTAGTATTTTTTTTTATAAAGAAATTTGAATATCAAATTTTTAACGAAAGCCGTTTAGTAAAAATTTATGAGGAACAAATCTAATTTTTCAATTTTTTTTTTTTTAACATATTTGTATTGCTGATTGTGAATTTGAAATTGAGCGGACTGACTTTGTTACAAAATTATAGCTTTTTATAGTTCTGCTATTATAAAGATATTATATGTCGTGTTAAATAACTAAATATCGTATTTTATAAATTATGTTTGTCGCAGCTCAATGGTTATACATAACTGTTTATATTTTAGGGTTCGTGAATTTGAACCCGTGGTTCGAAAAAAATGTTTGTATTTTTTTTTCCTTTTTACCCAAACACTGAAAAACCGAATTCATTTTGTATGTACCTAAAGACCTAAGCCATTGTTCCCTCGGACTGTTTTAATCGCAAAATACCCTTTGATTTGTTTTGTAAAATTCTCGACCAGAAATCTTGATCCAATGTATCAAATGTAGCCTATGTTTTGAAAGAAAATTTTATCTCCATTATCCTAGGACGTCCTTTTATGTTTACTCATTATAATAAATATTATATATACTCGTATAATATATGTTTTTGTATACACATTTTAAAATGAAAACAAAAATAGAAAAATGATTTGTCTAATTGAGCAATATTGAATAGTAATTAAAATTCGTCATTAAGAAAAAGTTTAATGATGGCTCAAAAACATTTCAAATTTGTTTTTAACGTGATGAAATATTTTTCATTGGTTTAACTTCACTGTTATTTTTCTTTCTGGAATTGTGTTACTAGTTCATTAATAACGCGATCCAAAGTATTTATGATACTGGGCAATTGTTTTGCAACGGGACGAATTCCATCAATACATAAATTTCATTGAGTGTTGGACTGTGTATGAACGTAATAAAGTCTCAACACATCTTTAAAAATTCTCCCCCTATTTGTATTTGAATTAAAAATATAAATCACTGTTGTACTTAATCGAAATCAGTTATAATTTTTGGACATATTTTAGTTACATTAGCACGATTAAGATTGAATGAGTGAGCGGCGCATGTTGAATATAAAATCAAGTATTTTATTTTTCGAGTAAACGTGATAGTGCTATTTTTATTTTACCTAATATATTGGCAACAATTTCTTAGCCTAAGTACCCTAAAATTTAATAGAGGATTTTCTAAACTTTCAAGCATAAAAATTAGTTAAGTGGAAATATATTCTCCAGTTTATCTTTTTAAAAAAAATTTAATAAAATTTTCCAAAATACTAAATACTCTAATTTTTTTCATTTTGTAAAACATTATATCCTAATATCAATATATTGCTTTTGACAAGATACATTAAACATATTTATAAACATAAAATAAATTAACATCGAGTAACCTACGCAAAATTCCTAGCTTAGCTCATTCTTATGTATTCTATTCTAAAAATGAATCCCTGTGAACTTTGATATTTTCACGATAACTGTGCTTGAAATAAAGTTTTGTCCATGGTGTTTTGTGAAGATAAACAACCTTACTCCAAAGCTAACATTTCAAACTACATATTGGAAGTTTTCATATGATTCGTATTAAATAAAATACAGGGATAACAGTGTAAAGATTGATTTGTTCACTCAAACTTAAACAATTCCGCGGAAATGATCACAATTATTTAATGATTTTGTATTAAGCATTGAAGGTCTTTTACTTTTAATAGTTTTTGGCAACTACTTTACATAATCAACTAATTCTTGAAATGTTGGTGAAACATCACTACATCTAATCATGACTACATCTAATCGAACTAACTTCGTAATGGAAATTGGCCACATTCCCGGATCTTTCAAATTTTCATCTGATGTTTCTTGTTCATATTCACGTTAATTAGAATCAGTATTACTTGGAGAAACAGTCTTGGTTTTATCTCTGTCGACGATTACCACAAATTCTGTATCTGGCACGGACGAATAGTTATTATCAAATGAAAATTTTCTCTGCGTTTCAAATTTTTACCGTTCAAAAATGTAGTTATTTTTAAATAATAAACGAACAACCCAACAAAATAAAACTATTAAATTAACAAATCCGGTGTGTTATACTTCCTTGATTGAACAGTAGTGAGTAAATATGAATTTTGTTCAATGGTTAGCTGATTAGGTATATACAATATAAATCTTTGTAATCGGAAACAGTGTGGCCAATACAATCGTAACATATACGATTATTTTTAAGTAATTTTTGACTGACGTTGTGTAGGTAATCATTATCTACGCAACGTCAACTCGCAACTAAAAATATTAAAACATATATCATACAATATAATAAATCTATCAAATATTATAACATTTTAACTTGGATCTATAAACAAGTCTTTCGGGGCCCCGTTTTAGTCCCCATTTTATAATATAGCTATTCGTGGACGGCCATGGTGGCGTAACTTTATTATTCATCAATTATACTTAGTATTTATGATACAAATACCCTTTGTTTTTCAAGAGACAAAAAAATTGCTGTTACTGCTGATTGCTACTGTTGTAGGCTGATAGTTTGAAAGTTAAGATACTCAAGATATCTTAAGTATACTATCTAAGGTTTATCCTACTTTAGCTCCCGAAAACGTATTCTGAGCGAAGTTCGGTTTTCCGTGACCTGAAAGGCAGTAATATTTATGATTTCAATCAAATTTCGATTTTAATATATTAGTAAAAAAACTATTACTACATAACCCACGATTAATTTTTTTATAACTACCAAGTAGCTACAACTTATAATGAACTTCATGTTAAAGTTGCAAAGAATTCTGATAAGTCAAGCAATAATACATACATAAAACTCGTAAATATAAAATGCCTATAAATTAATAAATTCGCTGTCAAAATTTCATATTTCTATGCAAATATTTTAACTGAACTATATCAAAAAAATAAAATTGAAAATAATGAAACTATTATTTAAAAAAAAAATAACAACACACATCACAGTAAAACCAATAAATTTCAAAGTTTTGCCACCAACAGTTTTTATTATTCACGAAATGTCTGATTTGTCAAAAATCCAAAAACTTTTAAATACGCAATTTTGCTTTTCTCTAGTTTTCTTTTTTCTTTTTTATTGGTTTCATTCTAGCAGTTACTATTTTTTTTTCATACTTTTTTTTAAATGGAATTTAAATGGAGTTTTCGAATATTTTAAATAGTTTTGTAAATTATAAAACGCAATTTTTCAAGAGTTTAATAAAATTGTAACCCAATTAAATATAAATCTTTAAACGTATTTAGCTGTAATATAAAAAAGTGTAAATGACACATTTCAATGAGTTAATTTTGTTTTTGAAAAATTATGTATATTGGAACGTATTTATTTGAACGTCTAAAATTTAATTTTATAAAAATATATTTGCAGATGTCTCGTATAGCCCACACATATCGTGGAGGGTAATTAGAGAACTGATGAACAGAAATAGTAAATCTGGAAAGGATGAAATTAAAGCAATTCAAATTAATAATGATATCATATACACTAATACCGATCCTTATAGAGTATCAAATGTATTTAATGATTTTTTATTAACGTTGGTCAGAATCTTTCGCAAACTATTGACTCAATAAATTTAAAATGGGAAGTACCTACCCAAAATGTATCGATTAAAAGCTGCTTCAATGCCAAAGTAGAAAATCTGAGGTCCTTTACATCATAATGAAGCTTCAGTAAGGTACAGCGGCAGGTTTTGATAGATTTACGGCTAAAATTCTTAAACCTGTACCTGAACACATAATAGAAATGGAAACTAGCAGTTATTACTCCACAGATAAATTGTTTGTTAATATAGACCTATATCTATACTGAGTAATTTTTCAAATATCTTAAAAAAAATTGCTAAAACAAGATTAATTACATATTTACGTGGAAAAAACAAATAACTCTCACAAAATCAATTTGATTTTAGACCTGGTTTAGGGAATGAGAACGCTTTATATAGTGCTACCAAATGCATTAACAAAGCCCTTGATGAGGGAATAAAACCGTTAGCAACTTTTTTTGATCTAGCTAAGGTCTTTGATACTGTGAATCATAAATAACTCATGAATATTTTACCGGAATTCGGTATTGACTCGTACAGTTTAAAATGTTTTTATAATTAATTGGCAAACCGAAGCTTAGTAGTCAAAATAAATGGTGTTACCAGTAATCCCTTGACGATAAACTGCGGAGTAATTTTTAATTACTAATGATAATAAAGAAAAACATCTAACGTTTAATGGTAAAGTAATTTATTTTAAGAAATCCTTTGGTAATAAATTTGTGGACTATCTAGCACCATGGCTGTATACAGGATTCGTTTTCTTTTTTTGCGGGGGAGGGTATATTTTAATATGAAACTATAACATGATTTTTATGAATTTCAATGACTTATACTTTAAAAAAACGGAAAACGTTTTTCTCTACAAAACGTAGAAAAGAGATTAACGAATTCAAATTTGTTTTCAAGATTAAAATTAGACTAATAGAAGTATGTTTATTTTTCCCCGGTTTATTGGTCTAAATGCATGAAGAATCCAATTGTTTCCATTTCCCTTAAGTAGAAAATAGTAGTAAAAATACTTACTTTTCGATTCGAAATCAATACGTTTTTGGCAAGTTCCTTCAGTTCTTTGTACGGCGATGTTAAGAATCCAATTAAAGAAATAATACACTCTACTAACCGAGTTAGAATTAAACATTATCGACGTCTTCTGATATGAAGCACTAACGACATTTGACGAATACTAAAATTAACGAAATTAAACGTGTCACGAAACGGTTGGCGATAACAATAACGTCACATATTTATCATAGTATTGTACTATGTATGGCTTTAAAATTAAAAGAAAAACCTACATCAAAACATATGTTTTTTATTTTACAACATTTTATGGAATATAATATTATACTTGAAAAAAAGACCTGAAGGAAAGACAATACAAATATTTTTGATGAAATTTCGAGGGAGGAGGTTGTACCTGGAACCCTCACCCCCTGCATACGGCCGTGTCTAGTACTAACCTATTATAACGCAATGCCTTTAGCTTTTTAAAAAAAAAAAAAACATTTATTTTAAAAATCTTAATGTTAAAAAAAACATACTTAAATAGATATTTTCCTGTTTGTATTGGTGTATTGAATATTTTTTCTCAATGTAATAATATAATTAATTGTATTTCTCTTTTCTCTATTTTTAATATTGTATAAACACTTTTTTCGCTTTTTCGGATGGTTGTAATTTCAATGACACATTACTGTCTTAACTCTCTGCCTTCACCACAAACTTCAGCTAAAAGAAGGTAGATAATTTATGTAATCTTTGTGTTTTGTTAAATTTGTTATTTTTGATTTAATAAATAAATACTACTGAATAGTCAGGTATAAATTATCTTTAGTGCAAGACCAAACGTTGCTAACAAACATTACTCCCATCATCTAATAAAAATGCACCTGGCTTCTATCTATACATAGAATTTTACTTAAATCGAAATGCCTAATCATAAAAAATTACTATTATAAAAAATATCAACATATTACTAGTCATTTTGTTGAGGTTATGTTGATGTTAACAGTATCAAGGTCTATTCATGTTTAAAATATGCATTTGCAAATTGCATTTACTTTACTCTTAAGTAATCAGTGGATACACTCCCCATAAATTTGTTTGAAATCCGTTAAATGTATTATTAGACAAGTTTGATAGTTTTTTATTTTTACGAGACTTTCTTTTTATTATTATTTTATATTTTTTTTTTTTTTGTGATAAGTCATTCGTTAAAGTACTTAGATCCTAACTTCTTAATTTCCCACCTACAATAGTGGCACAACCATGTGTGCGAAAGCCAATACGTGCCAATCTAGCTAAAATGTGTGAAATTTAAATACAATTTAAGTTTTACTTGAAAAAAAAGTTGAGTGTTATGTAGTAGTTTTTATTAGGTATTTTAAGTTTAAATTTTGACAAAAGCGTAACAATTACTATGAGACACGATTTTAATAGGAAATTCCTAGCTTATGGTTTTGTTTTATGGTGTTGAATTATTTTAAATAGTAATGTAAACGAATTAAAATATTTATTATTCTCATGACAATGTTTTTACACAAAAAATCTATGTCATAATATTCGATTTGGATGGTAAGAAGACATGTGTAAGGATTCATATTATTTTTAGTTAATTCATTTTTTAAATACTAAACAAATCAAACGTGTGGCTTTAAAGTGAAGTAACTTGACTGCTATTTTCTGAGAAAGAAAATTATTGTTAAAGATTTCAATAATGAAATAAGTACATTATGCATAGAAGCTTACCTGCGTTTTAAATTTTTTGAAAAATTGATAAAATATCGACGAAAAAAAAAGGAGCAAACGCTGGGGGTGTCTATATTGTAGATGCTAAGTCTTTCTCGTAGAATACATAGAGTTATTTATATCCGTTTACATCGACAAACTATTAGTGACGAAAACGATTCTGAGCGAAGATTGGTCGAACAAATCTATTGAATTTTATGATTTTAATCAAAATTTGAGCTTAAATTCATATTTTAAAAAAAATTACCTCACTACACTCAACATTTTTTTTTTTTTGGTCTTTCAGTATAACTTATATTGAACCTGGTGTAAAAAGTTGAAGCATTTTTTTGTTGATCAAATAATTTTATCCACGTACTACCTAGTAGTGGATAGGCAGTGCGTACTCCCTACCAAATCAACAAAAATTTTCAAAAACCGTGCAATTTACTGTGTTGTGTGTATTACATGTAACTTAAAAAAATGTGTGTTACAATAATAAAATACATTTGAATTGTCCAATATTTTTCAAACTATTTACTTACCTATTAATTTTATTCACATGATTTTCGGATTTCGTAAACACATATTAAACTTTGGTATTAACATTTAGAGTCAAAAATAATTAAACATGTTCGTACCGTGGGAGACAAATACTGATAAAAGTGCCGAGTGAAAATATATTAGATACCTACACCCATACTCCGCAAATATACGAATTGTAATATATTCTGTGGGTACACCTGCTCTATGTCCTATAATATTTACCATGTAATTATTCAATATTTTATTATATGGTTTTTTATATTTTATTATATGTAACATTTTTACCACAGACGGTAAATTTCCGAAATACCGTTTCACAATATTTCATGTAGGTACGGAATTGTAAATAATAAACAAATAAATCTAATGGTGGGTTATGACGTATAATATTAATTATAATGCTCGGGTACATAGGTAATTACTTTGTCAGTCGAAAAGTGGTAAAAAAAAAATAAATAAAAGCACAGGATTCCCAGAATTATACGAAACCTATACAGAGTGATTCGCTTAAGATGTTATGCTCAACCCATTTTTTTTTTCCGTTAAATTTTGCACAGAACACATTGCATTGCCACAAGCCGTGCCGCCACACAATTAATACCTACTCCACTACTCTACTCCCACCTAAATTCAAAAGTGGAAATCAAAAATGTTAACACCGAAATTTGTTTAAAGCAATGGTTCGTCTATTTATGAAATTTTTAATATAAATTCTCATTTGAAAAACCAAAGTTGATATTTCCGCAGGGTACTTCTTAATTGTTGGGGAAAATCTAAGCATTCGAAAATATCGGCTTTAACTGGAATATTCTGGCATATCAGAATTCGAATATGTTATGCAATATTTAACCGAAAAAATGAGGTGAATACGCATAGTAAATCATCCTGTATACAAATTTAATTAAAAAAAAATAATAATAAAAATAGAACAAATAACATAAGAAACTTTAGATTAATACTTAATGAATATCAAATGTATTAATTATGAATACAATTTCAAAACAATAATAATTGAATATTGGAAGTACATATTATACGTATATTTTTTTATTTATTTATCTATTTATATTTTAGATTCTGAATGTAGCGAAGAATGTATTGGTTTTATTTTTGCATCCCGCGAATAACGTTTCAACTAGAAATCTTGCTCTGATATTTTATATTATTGAATTTTTTCTGAAAGTAAATTTTCCAGGGGTGGTACTTTAGGGAGATCATTTTTTTTGATTTTCCAAGCAATTTTCATTATTATTGGGAAAAACGGCAAAATTTACATACACGCATGAAAGAAACATCGCTCCGAATCGAGTTTTGTTGGCAATTGCTTATCGTTGCATTCAGATGTAAATTAAATTCCCTTCTATATTCTACCTGCCAAATTCTCACGTATAATAATGACCCACGCATAGTGCGAAGTATGTCCGTCTTTTTACACATTCTTACACTTGTTACTTTTTTTTACATTTTTTTATCACTTATTTTTATTTATCATATATTTTCATATCTAGTTCGTTACCCGAAATGATTTGTTTGAAATATTTGTGTAATGAACGTTTTTTATTTCAAAACGTGCTGATATATTAATATTTAATATTTAACTCATACGTTATTAGGGTTCGGATTTCAATGCATTTTGCGTGGTTTCCAAAGATTGACGAATATATTGTTAGACATTTATTATGAGCCGCTTTTTTTCTGTCTGCAGTAAACAAGGTTCGAACAAAATATCTCGTTTTAATTGTTAATTTCAAGGTTGATTTTCAGTCATAAATTTTGGCTATATCTGTGGATCTGCGATAGTTTGCATTTTTTGATTTTTCTGATGTATGAGGAAAACTATGAAAAACTGAAAAGTTTATGGAGATAACGGTTTCATTATTTTCAATTTTATTATTTTGTTGTTATTCTATTTAAAAAAAAAAATCATAGAAAACTTAAATTTGCCCTTTAAAATTACATTAGAATTCTCTAGATGTTCAAATTATTCTGGCGATTTTCGAGTTGGTTATAGTTATTTAACATTTTTGAATTATTTTAGTTTTTATTTGACTTTATGTGGGTGCTATTGTTTTGATAGATCAGAAATTTTATACAACGTTCATTATACATTTTACTTGTGACTGAACAAAAATTAAGTTTAACATGTTGTAATATTTTTAGATTCGGAACCTAACGAGGGATCTGTTTACTATGATGTGTGTTTATTTATTCTGTCTGTAAAGAACTTTTCAAAAAGAAAATTTGCTTCAGTATATAATGTTTATCATCTTTTTTGAAAGAAAAATGTTGTCAAATAAGTGTATTAAAGAGGTTATTTTTTGTTATTCCGAGCAATTTTCAAAATAACAGGGAAAAAACGTATGCAATCGAGAAAATGTACGAAAATAATGCTTTTATTATTTTTAATTTTGTTTTTTTATTATAATTTAGTTCAAAATGTTTGTGGAGACTTTAAATTTGAACAGTAAAATTATATTTGGCTTTTATAAATGTAATACAAGTTTAAAAATATTTGAGCCATTTTAAAACAATTTATAGACATTTCAATTTTACGAGTTTTTTACGTAATTTTTATTCGGTGGTACTCTGTGGATACAATTTTTAATGTGTTCTAACACCATATAGAAATGCATTAAAATTTAACAGGAGATTTATTTTAAGTGGTACTTAGTGGTCAATAAGAAAAATTTGAGTTTTATGTAGTATTTTTTTTTTTTTATAAGAAATTTAATATGAAATTTTAAAGGAAATGGTAAATATTAAGGCCTTTTAAGACATTTACTTTTATCATTACTTACACAGAGAAAAATTAAATAATTTTATATGTCCTACCTTCCTAACTTCCCACCTACAATAGTGAAACACCCGTCCACAATATCAGCTTTTTTTTTTTTCATACTCCCGTATTGAAATGTCACGAATTGAATTTTATTACTAAGTACGTGGCCCATATATGAAGCCCCTGATTTGTGTATTTTCGCTTTCTCGATATTGCGGTGTTTATTATAAACCACGCGTGATCGATTGTTGTAGAATTTTTAACAATACGCACATTTCGCACGATTCGCCGTACACATTTATTTTTAAAAATGATATCACTGCAACGCGTAAAATCGTGCCTATATAATATACATACCGATGTATTCGACCTTATCAGCCGACTCTCAATGCCAACATCAACGTTGTTTGCAATGTTGAAATATTGAATATATTAATTAATCGTCTGAAAGAGTATCTTCAAAAGTATCGTCTTTAAGGAAATCGAAAGTTTTGACACCCGTATAATATAGAAAAATTACACAATATGATGTATAGGTACCCGTAAATTCTAAAGTTTCCGTAATTAATATTGGCGGGTTAAATGAATACATAGGTGGAAACAAATATTTCGTCGTACCTAACTCAAATACTTGTACAGGAAATCGATTACTTCCATTTGAAAATATTTTCCGTAAATATTGCAGGTAGTAACAAAAATTTAAAAAATTCGAGACGGACTCTAATATCGCTGCGAACGTCTAATAAGGTGTGTACAAACGATTTACAAAGTCGGGCGAGTATCTGCACGACTTCAGAAAAATGCTCGGCTAGGCCAAACTCGAGTTACTTGACTCTAATCGACAATTTTTTACGAGCACTCGACCGTTTCATTTAATACAAATAAATGTGCAAACTAATTATAATTATATAATTTCTATTTTTGAAGCATTATCGAGTTTTAAAATGAAAACAAATACTATTATATGGTCATTGGTCAAGTCAATATTTCTTCTTTATAAAATGTGCGATTATGTCCCTGTGCTCAAAACTCAAACAAAGAGTCGCGTTCGTTGAAATTCGTACGGGATGTCTTCTATATTTTGGGCGAGGCAGACGCCTTCGATGTCAATAATAGAATAATAGGAGTTTGCGATTTCAGTATAGGTACGCAGTAAGCCAATAAATATTCGAGTACTCGAGCGATTTCAAATAGGGGGGGGGGGCTTTATTCGACAGTTTGGAGTGCTTATAGTACCATTACTCTCTCCACTGTTTGATCCACATAAGGTCACCTTACATAAAATAATTTTGTCTTTAGCAGTCAGATCCCAATATTTTAAAATACGAGAATATGACCCGGATAGAAAATAATTTTTTTTTTTAACCGACAAATTCAAATATTTCGGAGGTTTTTTTACTGTTAAATGTTATTATTATTATTTTTTAATCGGAAAGAAAATATAACCAAGTATTTTTTCTTTCTTTTTATTGGTATCGAAATACACAACGGTTTCGTTTTTAGTCGAGCGTGTAAGTCGTGTAGCGGTCGCAGTCGAACGTTGACGGTTTTATGCTTTGTATACCTATTTCACACGATTTTTTTTTTTTATTTTGCGTACACCCTACAGGTGTTGTAGTCGTTTATGTTTGACATACATTTTGAAACTAAATAGGTGTGATAATATAGTGATCATATTTTATACATAATTTCATTTTTTAATATTTGTCGGATCGAATTACAATGATTATACTACAATATTGAAATGATATAATAATGATGGCTAATTGAAAAATAATTCAACATGTAATAACATATATTACAATATAATGCATTACGATGACTTATTGAAATAATAAACTAAATAATATACGTAAAAAAAATAAAAAATAAATAAATTTTTCAATGAAATGTAAATAATAATATTATATCAATATTCATCGAATCATTGCGGAAAACAATAATTTATAAATACCGAATACAGCGAGCTTGTCATCGCGATGACGACGGGATCCTTGAACGGACGACTTGTGGTCAGATTCCTGGCCACCCGTACCTGACGTCGTTACCGGGAAAAAAAAAAAAAAATCAGACGTAATAATTTTGTCGGGAGGTCATATTTGTGGAACCGCGCGTTTCGATTGTATACAAAACGGAATTTATCGTTTTTTATTATTATTATTTTTTTCGTTTTTTTTTTTTTTTTTTAGCGTTACGCGTCATCGTGAAAAATCTTTACGAGCCGATTCCCCTGAAACACCGCAATGTTCTACACTGAAATTCGGTGGAATTATAACGCGTGCGTACTGTGTAAAGGTTACGATATAGGTACACGAAACGAAAAAAAGCACGCTAAATTTCGCCCTGACCCGAATGCGGATAGCGAAATTGATTAGAATATTAAGAGGGTTTTTTTTTTTTTATTATTATTATTATCATCATTCGTGTACATTAGTCA